CGACTTATAAAGTAGCCAGATTTGTTCAAGACATTTTATCTAATAGTTTGCCCAAACCGTCAAGCTATGTTAAAGATAGCATAGATTTACTTAACAAAATTAAAAATATTTCTATTCCAGACGAATACATTCTGATCTCTTTGGATGTTACTGCTTTGTTCAACAACGTACCAAAAGAACTGGTATTAAATGCAATCAATTCTAGACGGAATTATTTAAATAACGCTAAGATCCCTTTTGGAGAGTTGAAACAGTGCATTGAACTCTTAATGGATTCCACGGTTTTCAAATTCAACAACCTCTACTATGAGCAAATCTTTGGTACTCCGATGGGGAGTCCAATATCCCCTATTTTAGCGGATCTAGTTATGCAGGATTTAGAAGTTTCCTGCCTCGATAAGTTGAGCTTTGAGGTACCCTTTTACTATAGATACGTGGATGATATTATCACCGCTGTCCCTAAGAATAAACTTGATGAAACTCTTAATACTTTCAATAATTTCCATTCCCGTCTGCAATTCACATTCGAGCTAGAAAAAGATTACAATATCAACTTTTTAGAAGTTTGCATAACGAGGTGTGATAACAAAATTTCTTTCGATTGGTACCACAAACCCACTACCTCGTTCCGCTATATTGATTTTTACTCGTCACATCCATTGAGCCAGAAAGTGGGAGTTGTTTCTATGCTTGTTGATAAAGCGACTAAGTTGGCGGATCATAAACACCACCAAAAAAAATTTAAAATTTGTTGAAAAGGTCTTACTAGCGAATCGTTACCCTCATAAGTTTATCAAGTTCTATGTTAGGAAACGCTTACATAAGAACAATAGTGATAATTTAGATAGAAACCTACAGTATCAGAATAACCGGACGGAAAATTTAATGGTGCTTCCGTATATTGAAGGGTTCTCAAAAACAGTGAACAAAATCAATAAGAAATATAATTTCAAAACTATTTTTTTTTCTGTTAACAATAGGGTTAATGATAAATTTGTTAAAAAGTTGAAAGACCCTTGTTTGGTCACAGTTGAGAACACCTGTTTAACATATTTGACATGTCATAAGTATTGAAGAGCTACTCATTTGTGTATTCTCAGAGTTTGTACTCTTATTCCGTATACATACATCATTTTTCGTTAAGTTGAGCATTGTATGTACATAGCACATTCATATTCATATAGAAGTAAGCACACTCGCTGTAAGGCGGAGAAAGGGCATTTATTGTAACTAAAACAAATTGAATAAACACACTCGTTTTGGAAGTCAATCAGAGCGCATCGTTTGCCTTTTATTTAAAGTTTGCAACTAGCATTTTGGTAAATATTTTTAATATATTTTGCAGTTGTGAAAATCCTCACAATCCTACATTTTGGCGCCCAACGTGGGGCACGATTCTTAAATAAAATAATCGAGCATCCCCATCATTTTCGTCATCGCTGGAGGCTCGCATTGGTGGACTCCATCGTGGTCATTTCTAACATCGGAACACGCAAATTGCAATATCCAAGGTCAGATAAGAGTCATTGGGACCAAGTGTACACCATTCCACCCGAAACTAAAAAGAAACGGGGAAACAGTTATACTTTGCACTCACTTCGGCTTTGCAGTTTTGGGTAATTCTGCTAAGCACACACGGCTTGCGCACACTTTGCGTCGCCACCGCTGCTACTACTTGGGGGAGTCGCTGTTGCTGCCGCCGTCGCTGCCACTACTTAGCTGATACGCTGACGCGCGCTCGCACTTCATTTGCGCACTTTGCTGTGCTGCTCTCGTTAGCCCGCTGCTGCTATTTCGCTTATTCGTCGCCTGTGTTAGATCTACGTGTACGCACACTTTGCTTTGCTGCAGCTGCTACTTAGCAGATTCGCTGGCGCTCGCTCGCAATTCGTTTACACAGTTTAATTCGTAGGCGCTATTTGGTTGCCCTACGTCTACGCACATCGTTTCTTCGCTGCGGCTAATGCATTAAGGGGCTGCTGCTACTTATCTTATAGCTGTCGCCCACTAATAGTGTCACTTTCGCATTCGCTATTTTGCGCGGCCTAACTACTCGGCACTGCCCAACGTACGCCAAAGGAGGTTTGCCGGCTGTCGCTGCGGTCATTGTTGCGTCGCATCAAATAGAACACATCGCAGCGTAACTACACTACCTGCTTATATTCCATCGACTGCTCAGCTCATCGCACAACCCAACGTGCAGATTGTTGCGCACACAACATCGAATCATTTGGACTTGGTGTACAGCGAGTACTTGCACCGCTCTATCTGCATCACAATTTGCGCCGATTGCTGCTGATTGCCGCCACCTTTATACGCTGCGTTAAATTTGTTGAAAACGTTCATCATTGATACGACTGACTTTATTGTTTCACCAACCATTGTATAGTAAGTCATTTAATTTTAAGCTTGTTTCACCATGTCTCTGGAAAGATTGAAACAATCTCGAGCTAGTACTAAAAAAATATAACACGTATTAAGAATATTGTCAACGATAGTTTGAAACCAGGGGGACAGGCGCTGTCGCCAGCGGAGTACAAGTGTCGACTTGGGATTCTCGAATCCTACTTTAAGCAAATACTGTCGATACAATCAGAAATTGAAGAATTAGATCCAGAAGACAACGCCCGCGGGGATTTAGAAGATCTCTATGTAACGACGAAATTGAGTATTCAGACGCAATTCGGGGAGGACCATAACGCAACACTTTTAGATTCCACTTGCATAGTGCAAGCGAGCTCAAAATTGCCGCAGTTGAAATTACCCTCTTTTTCTGGAAAGTATTCCGAATACAGGAATTTCATCACGTCGTTCAAGCAAATTATTGATCGCGAACTAAGTCTTTCCAACATTGAGAAATTCAACCACTTGCGCAATTGCTTACATGGCCAAGCTTTGGAAGCAGTTAATGCGTTTCAAGTCACGAATGAAAATTATTCTAAAGCGTTGGAAAGACTTAGAGCTCGTTTCGACAATCCAACACTTATTTTTTTGGAAAACATCTCGTCGTTGTTCGAGCTTCCTTCGGTTTCAAAATCCAATTGTGTTGAATTACTAAGTCTCATTGACAACGCCTCTGCAATTTTCGGTTCTTTACGTTCCTTGGGTACCGAAGGTGAAATTGCCCAAGCCATGCTAATATATTTGGTTATACATAAGGCTGACGATGACACAAAAAAGAAATGGAAACAATCATTGGACTTTAAAAGGTTACCTTCTTGGGAAAACTGCACCGATGTTCTGGAAAGACATTGCCAATACCTCGAGTCACTTGCTGGCAATAGCGCTTCCGCTCCGCTAACTCCGACAAATAGTAAGGGCTCGAGAGGACACAAACAACAGAAGAGTCATACATTTGCGCTTTCTAATTCGCCATGCGGGGTCTGTTCAAGCGGGAGCCATAAGATTTTTAATTGTGATCGCTTCAAATCTTTGACCGTCATACAGCGCTTTGAGCAAGTAAAACGAATAGGGCTCTGTATTAATTGTCTCACTAGAGGCCATCAGTTGTCAAGTTGTCCATCATTGCAAAGGTGCAAAATTTGTTCGCGACAACATCACAGCCTACTTCACCGTGCTACATCGAGTTCGCCAGAATCTTCCAACTCTTTGAATCAGTCACCTCAACCGCTATCAACACCAGGTTTGTCTGCGACCTCAAGTCGTGCTACCACTCACACTCACTTAAAACACTCTTCGTTCTATCAAGTAATTCTGGCTACTGCCATTGTCCTAGTTCGTGACGCTTCAGGCACCTATAGACAGGGCAGAGCATTGCTGGACTCTTGTTCACAAGCTAATTTCATTACCGACGAATTTTCCCAAAGGCTTTTGCTACCCAGAAGCAAACACAATATTGAAATCTGCAGTATTGGGCAGACATCAACCAACATCAAGTACAAAACTACTACATGTATCAAATCCCGAACAACCGGTGTCGAATTGCCTCTAGCATTTTGCGTGACATCAAACATTGCTTACGAATCGGGATTGGAGATCGATATTTCAGCTTGGAATATACCATCAAATATAGAACTTGCTGATGAACAGTTTTATAAGTCCACACGAATTGATATTCTTCTAGGCACCGAAACCTTTTTCAGTTTATTATCGGTCGGCCAGATTAAGCTTGGCGATAATTTACCAGTTTTGCAAAAGACGTTGTTGGGATGGGTTGTCTCAGGTCGCTACCAGTCAAATAGCAACAACATTAGATCATTATGTATGGTAGCTTGTAATGATGAACTAGATAAAAAACTGGAACAACTCTGGAGGCTCGAGGAAGTCACGTCCGTTGGAGACATGTGGACTCGTGAGGAACACAGTTGTGAACGCCTGTACACGAACACGGTTTCACGAAGCCAGACCGGAAGAATAATTGTCAAACTTCCATTTAAAGATGACCCCTGTTGCTTGGGTGCTTCGTATACGACTGCTCTGCGTCGTTTTATGTCACAAGAGCGCCGCTTGTGGCAGTCTCCAGAACTCGGAAAACAGTACGCTGCCTTTATGGAGGAATACGAAAACTTGGGACATATGAGTATTGTTGAGGAGCCAAATCTTAATGAACCTCACTACTTTATACCACATCACTGCGTCTTAAAGCCATCAAGCACTTCGACGAAATTGAGGGTTGTCTTTGACGCGTCCTGCCGCACCACTTCGCAAAGATCACTCAACGATATACAAATGATCGGGCCAACACTACAAAGAGAGTTAGTAATGCTCCTTTTAAGTTTTCGACTACATCGTTTCGCATTAACCGCTGACATTGTAAAAATGTACAGACAGGTGATCATAAGCCCAGAACATCGCAAGTTCCAATATATTCTTTGGAGAAAATCGTCTACAGATAAGATTAGTACGTACCAATTAAATACGGTTACTTATGGAATGGCCGCCGCACCATACCTCGCAATACGAAGCCTATTCTATTTAGCTGATCAGTACGCATCACAATTCAAAATAGGGTCAAACGTCATCAAATCATCGTTTTATGTAGACGATCTTTTATGTGGTGCCGATTCAGTCGCTGAACTTTTTCGAATCAAACATGAGGTACGCGAATTGCTGAAATTGGGTGGGTTTGAGCTTGCGAAGTGGCACTCAAACCATCCGGAGCTCAAAGTTGTAGGAACTGTGAAGGATTTGAAACTGGACGATTCCATCACAAGCACACTCGGTATTAAATGGAATCAGAATTGTGACTCTTTCCTTTTCACATTTGAACCGAAGCAGCGTAGCAATAGCCGAATCACAAAGCGATATATTTTATCTATTGCATCTACCCTTTTCGATCCTCTTGGTCTTCTAGCTCCGGTGAGTATCACTGCAAAACTCATCATTCAGGAACTATGGCTGCTCAAACTCGAATGGGACGAGTCTGTCAGTCAAAGCATTCATATGGCTTGGTCCAAGTTTCTCAACGACATGTCGAATCTTAATTTAATCAAAGTTCCAAGATACTGTTTAGGAAGAAACATTCAATCGCTTCAGCTTCACGGATTCTGCGACTCGTCAATTCGTGCGTATGGCTGCGCAATTTATACGCGCGTAGTAGACAGTAAAGACAACATATTCGTACATCTTCTTATAGCTAAGTCGAGAGTCGCGCCTATTAAAAAACAAACGTTGCCGAAGTTAGAGCTCTGTGGCGCTTTGCTGCTTGCACGACTTTTTTCAAAAATTAAACCAATTTTTTCTAATCACAAACTTGACACGTATCTATGGACAGATTCGGAGATAGTTCTGCATTGGCTTAAAATGCACTCCGCTACGCTTTCTACGTTCGTCGGAAATAGAGTGTCCGAAATTCAGGATCTAACTGCTGACGTAAATTGGAGACACGTCCCGACTCAAAGTAATCCAGCCGATATTGTTTCAAGAGGCAGCACTATAGAAGAACTCTTGAAATCGAATTGGTTCACTGGTCCGTCGTTCTTGTATGATAATGCACACAAATGGCCTGATAACAACTGCAATAACGTTGACATGGAAGTCGTAGAAAGTGAGAAACGCAAGGCAGTGTTCACTATAATATTAGCGTCGAATTACATTCTGGAAACTATTGACAACATTAGTTCATATATTCGTAGTATTCGATTAGTTGCTCAATTATTCCGTTTTTATAGCAAGCTGCAAAGAAACGTAACCGAGAACTGCCAGGACGGACCACTTTCATCGCAGGAGATGCATCACGCCTTGCTGTGTATTGTATGGAATATACAACAGCAGTACTTCGCTGAGGAACTCCGCCTGCTGAGAAAAGAGGCGATGGCAAGTGGAACATTGCGGTATCTTAACCCGTTCATCGAATCCGTTGAGGATTCGAACTACTAAAAGTTGGCGGGCGCTTAGAGTTAGCGGATCTTCCTGATGCTCAAAAGCACCCAATTTTGCTGCCAGCAAAATGTCAATTCGTCGCTCGCTACGTTCATCATTTGCATGTCAGCAACTACCTCGCAGGACCTAAGGCGTTAATAGGTTTAATTCGTCTTAAATTTTGGATAGTGAACGCGCGTGAAGTATCTAGACGCGTCGTCAAAAACTGCATCCACTGCGTCAGGTATAGACCAAAGTTGCTACAACAACTAATGGGAAACCTGCCGGTTGAGCGTTTGACACCGTCTCGGCCATTCGCACGCTGCGGCGTCGATTTTTGCGGTCCTGTCAATATATATCTCCGCATCAGAGGAAAGGCGCCCCATAAGGCTTACATAGCCATTTTCGTGTGTTTGGCATCAAAGGCGGTACACATTGAGGTCGTCTCAGACCTCTCCACGGCTGCCTTTCTAGCGTCACTGAAACGCATGATCGGACGACGGGGCTTATCCTCCGATATCTTTTGCGACAACGCTACCAATTTTGTTGGCGCGTGCAATAAACTCAAAGATTTGAAAGCGTTTCTGTTTAAACAGGAGCATCAAGAATCCATCATTAAATATTGTGCCAACGAGTTTATTAATTTTAAATTTATTCCCCCTAGAGCACCTCACTTTGGCGGGATATGGGAAGCTGCTGTCAAATCAGCCAAGGGTCACCTTAATCGTAGCCTCTGGGATACAAGAATGACGTTTGAGGAATTGTCTACAAGCATGGTCGAAATAGAAGCAATTTTAAACTCTCGCCCGATAGCACCGCTTTCGAATGACCACAGCGATTACGAAGCGTTAACACCAGGCCACTTCATAATTGGGAGCGCCCTTAAGGCCCTTCCAGAGCGCACAGTCTCAGCTAACATCGTTCACCATGAACGATGGACTCGAATTAGAAGCGTCAAGCAAGCATTTTGGTCGCGGTGGTCGCGCGACTATATAAATGAACTACAGATGAGAAACAAATGGTCAACTGAGCGTCCAAACGTAGCGAATGATACCATGGTCATAATACATGAAGATAACGTTCCCCCGATGCGCTGGCAATTAGGCAGAGGCATTCATAAACTCGCAATACTGCCTGCTTGAAAGTCCTTTCAATGGGGCCGGGATGTTTGGTCACAGTTGAGAACACCTGTTTAACATATTTGACATGTCATAAGTATTGAAGAGCTACTCATTTGTGTATTCTCAGAGTTTGTACTCTTATTCCGTATACATACATCATTTTTCGTTAAGTTGAGCATTGTATGTACATAGCACATTCATATTCATATAGAAGTAAGCACACTCGCAGTAAGGCGGAGAAAGGGCATTTATTGTAACTAAAACAAATTGAATAAACACACTCGTTTTGGAAGTCAATCAGAGCGCATCGTTTGCCTTTTATTTAAAGTTTGCAACTAGCATTTTGGTAAATATTTTTAATATATTTTGCGGTTGTGAAAATCCTCACAATCCTACAACCCTTTAGAAAAAGATCAGACCCAAGGGGTGGTATACAAGATAAACTGCAAAGAATGTGATAGTAACTACGTTGGCCAAACTAAGCGAAAGCTAGTGACCCGCATTAATGAACATCGAAAAGACATTAACAAGTTAAATCCAACCTCTATGACTACAGTACATAAAGTTAACACAGATCATGATTTTGATTGGGAACAGGTCAAAATTTTGGATAGGGAGAAGCATTGGAACAAACTTAATATTTCTGAGATGATTCACATAAAGATTAGTAAAAATACATTGAACCGACAAAGGGATACGGAAAATTTGAACCCTATTTATAATAAACTCCTTACCAATATTCGGTGTTAATTAGTTTACATTTCTCATCGACAACATAAGTTAAGGTATTAGGCGCACAGAAAAGATTGCGCAAAAACGGCACAGCTGTTTACTTTTCTCTCTGTGCTGTATAGTTGGTGTTTTTTTTTTGCATTGCTGAACTATGATACATACATGTATGTATCAATATTGCATGCTTGCATTGTTAATTGTTGATATATCACGGTTGACGCTCTAGTTAGGGACAGAGATAGTATACACACTTATTGTTGTTGTTGTTTTGCTGCCCTTAACTAGTCTAATGTGCCTTTGTTTGGCGTTTAGTTTAATCTTTCTGTTTTTATGTTTGATGCTTCTCTCGCTTCATATATATGTACCTGCTCGTCTTGTTGTAACGAATAGAACTTATAAAACTTTGACATTTGAGTCAATAATTCGCTCGCTGTTCGTTGGAATATTTTCAATTTTTAAATTTATTATGCCGGAAGATTTTAAGAAGTAAGCCTTTTGCTTTTTGCGTGTTTTATATAAAATAGAATATTGTGTGTATAAATTTGTATT